GCATTGCATATTATACTGTATAATATATATATATACATACATTGGACCCGCTGTGCAGGTATCGACTTTCCACCCGCAGACGAAGACGAATTCCGAACACGAATTCCCCACAGAAGACGAATTCTCCCGAAGATGAAGTCCCTCCTGAAGACGACGACGACTACTACTACTGCGCCTTACTACGCCTTACTACGACTTACTACGACTTACTACCACTTACTACTACTAATTACTACTACTAATTACTACTACTAATTACTACTATTAATTACTACTACTAACTACAACTACAAATAATAATAGTAGTAATAGCAATAATGCTAATACTACTAACTATAACTATAACCACTGCCACTACTAAACTACTACTACTACGACGACTACGACGACTACGACGACTACGACGACTACGACTACAACGACTACAACGGCTACAACGGCTACAACGACTACAACCACAACCACTACCACTACTACTACTACCACCACTACTACCACTACTACCACTACTACCACTACCACTACTACTGCTACTACTACTACTGCTACTACTACTACTAGGAGTCCCCAGGCAGCATCCAAAGGAGTAGGAAGATGAGAAGTAAACATCGTAAGTAGTAGGAGGTGAGTAGTATGTAATATAGTAGGCACTGCGTAGCTGTAGCTCCTGTAGCAGAGTCTTTGTACTCATGACCTCTCGATATTGTTTGATGCCATTAGGCGAAAATAGAATGCCCGCTTCTCGTCTTAAGCTTACATTGCCATTTGCGCAGAAAAACTGTGAATCTGTGGCTGCAAGGTGTGCGCCATCCAGGAATGCGTCGTCAGAATGCGTCGTCGCCCCCGAATGTGTCGTCAGGGAATGTGCCGTCAGAACGCGTCGTCGGGGGGAATGCGTCGTCAGTCACGAATGTGTCGTCAGAATGCGTCGTCAGGGGGGAATGCGTCGTCAGTCACGAATGTGTCGTCAGGGAATGTGTCGTCAGAATGCGTCAGTGTCAGTGCTAAATGTCGATACTTGTACCCGGGTTGCGGCCATTCTGTATATATATATGTATATATTGGGTCTGTCCTATCACCTGTAACAGTCAGTAAACAATTCTTACTATATTTGAACAAGGCCAACAAGGCCTTTACTAACCATCACGATATAGAGAGAGAGAGAGAGAAGCGAATTGTGAATCTTAGAGCAATGAGTTGTTTGGTATGGCTGCATTTAGCGGGTCAAAAACATGTTGCAGGCCAACTTCACTACTGCATCTGACTCATGATTTTGTGTGTGTGCCACCTCCCGTCTCGAGGGACACTACTTGCTACTAGTAGCTTCTTGTTCCTAGCAGTAATGGCCTCCAACCTCATAGCGATGGCCTCCGCCTCCACCTAGCAGCTTCTTGTTCCTAGTAGTAATGGCCTCCAGCCTAACAGCGACAGCCTCCACCTAGTAGCTTCTTGTTCCTAGTCATAATGGCCTCCAACCTAATAGCGACGGCCTCCACCTAGTAGCGTCTTGTTCCTAGTAGCAATGGCCTCCAACCTAATAGCGATGGCCTCCACCTAGTAGCTTCTTGTTCCTAGTAGTAATGGCCTCCAACCTAATAGCGGTGGCCTCTACCTGCCTAGTAGCTTCTTGTTCCTAGTAGCAATGGCCTCCACCTAATGGCGATGGCCTCCGCCTAGTAGCTTCTTGTTACTACTCTCTGTCCCTTGAACTCTCACTCCGGCAAGGGACAGAGAGCCGCATGGCTGTCGCCAACGAAGCTCCATGTAGTTGACTAGGATACGGCGGCTGATCACCGTGACGTGCCTGCACATTGAGTTTTGCGAACCTATATAAGTATAGCAAAAGCTATCTAATGCGCTGTTTCTGCGTTCACGGTCTAATGCATTCGTGTACTGCAGTAATCCAAAGGTAATGCATTCGTGTACTGCAGTAATCCAAAGGGCCAAGTCACACTCTGTTTCTAAGAGTTTGTTCTACGACTGACCACTTTTTCCCTTTTTCCTCCCCAATGACCGAGCAGGGGCGTGTGACACTCTTATCCTACCACATGCAACGAAGCTGTGGATAAGAGTGGGAAGGGAAACTTGGCCAGTTTCCTGTACCTGCAATTTGAACTGTTGACCCCCTCCGCTGTTTCTTTGTTTCCGTGGCCGTTCGCATGATTTTTCCCCCAAACCCACTTTCCTGCCGCGTATGCAGCTGAGACACCACCGCTTTCCGCAGTCACGTGCAACATTGTTGAACATTTCAGTTGAGCTGATTTTGCGCCTTTTGCGTTCCCACACCCACTTCACTGTGGGTTTTGGAAACTGCGAACCCTGTGACTAAGTGTGTGTGTGTGTGTGTCGCTTGTATGAAAGTCTTTCGTTTTCTTTCGGTTCTTGGGTTGCCGACGGTGGAAGTGGGAGGCCTTGAAGGCCGTGGAAGAGGAGACGGGCCAGACGGGCCAGACAGGCACCTTGCCACTCAGCTTGGCATAGCGGGGTCCGCCGAACTCACCTGGCCTCCGATTGGGCCAAAAGGAGCAAATCATGGATGCATCATGCAGACTTTTGCTAGCAGAGTTGGAGGACAACATCACTGTAAACGGAACCCACAGATGTTGAGGTCCCTCGAACATGTCGAGCCAATGCCGCTCGCACCTGCATGACCGAGGTCACCTGCTTCGATGCAGCCAGGTTTGAGACGAACCACTGGCCTGGTGAGTGTCGGGGTGCCTTCAATGTCTCCATGTGAGTCAAGTCCCAAGAAGTCCGTGCTCACATGATGCGAACAATTAACTCCATGTGTTTGCGCCTCAGTCCCTACTTTACCTTCTTGGAAAAATTACATCCTTCTTGAAAGTTTCAGGTCTCAATGTTCTCCCTTCGTCCCTTCTTGCGGTCGTAGCAATGGGCGCTCTCACAGGACGCTGCGGCATGATGTCTCAGTTCCCTGTGGCCCAAGAAGCTACGCTCCCCCAAGGTACGAGGGCCACGAAGGGCCAGGAACCCGGAACAACAGGCGAAGCGGCGAAGCGGCGTGATTGGCGAGGAAAAAGAATATTGCAAAAAGATTAAGAATTCAGACTTTAAGGAACTAACCTAATAGCGATGGCCTTCAACCTACTAGCGATGGCCTCCTACTCCAACCTTATAGGAATGGCCTCCAAGGGGCACACCACGTGATGTGTGAAGCCTACAGACATATGAGCGCACGAAAACTTGCCGTAAGATGCCGTAAGAATGGCAACGAAGGAGAGGGGCCCTTTCTTGTGCGATTGTTGCTTCTACTCGAGGCTCAAAATCTGTGCCTCTCGGTGTCCGCTCAGCTGCGCCAGGCACTTCTGAGTGATGTCGGCGAGTCAGGGTTGCTCAGAGAGCAGACTCTTCACAACCCTCAGATGCTTGTGGAAGATCCTCACATGACCCGCAGCCATTGGAAACGAAGAGCAACTCGGAATGGCATCAGTGGAATTGGTGGAAGCAAAAGAGAAGAAAGGAAAAGTCTGTGTGACTGTGTGACTTTGAAACCCAGCAATGCAGTGGCAATGCGGCAAAGCTAGAAACTACTGCAGGCCAGAACCCCTTGAAGAGCAGGGGCCTCGGCTACCATGGTCATAGGCCAGCCATACGATTCACATGCAGCAGGCATAAGGGACACTTGTGAGGGGGTTCCTTGCTGTTGCCGCAGCCCTATCATTGCCAAAAGGATCCAAAAGGACTTCAGACCTGTCCAGATACATTGGGGCTGGCTTAAGGCGAGAAGTGCTGATGAAAGAGTTGGAGACAGAGACCACTGCCAGCAGTGGCAAGAGCCTTTGGAGTGTGTCATTGACCAAAGATAGGCGGACAGATAGACAAGGTAGATGAAATGTTGCCCGCATATCAGTGCCGAAGTACGAACATGTGCCGAGTAAGGTGGTACAGCACAGTCAACGGTAATCTGTACTTTAAACATCAAACACCACCTCCAGTGGGACGTTCCAAAGAGGCACGCCAATCTTGGAAGCCAGAGAAGCGGGTTGGACGATGTGCCATTGTGCGCGTTTTTGCGAGGTTTGTTGTAGTATGATTGTACTGACCTGTGGCAATTCTGGTTGTGTGTGTGGCAAGTTTGCGGTGATTCGGATAGGCAATCAGTGGTGACCGCAGTGATGGATTTCGATTCTGTTGTAATTGGTGATTCAATGTGAAGCGTAGAACTGCGATGATTGACAAGCAGCGTTTGTGTTTGTTTGTGGCGACCTGCGGTGGTTTGCGGTCATCTAGTTGTAATTGCGGTGACATGGGCGATTTGCGGGTTTTGTGCGGTTTGGGTAGTGGTTGGTCACGGACTGGTATGACTGGATCTATGGAGATGCATTTGTGGGGTCGTTGAAGAAATTGAGGGCGAGGGCCGTGGGTAAGGGAGTTTGTCAGTAGCAAGGCATGGACCGATTGAATCGGAACACATGAAAATCTTCAACGAACATTCATGTATGCATGAACATGTGCGGATTTTTGTTCAGACACCTACTGCAAGTGTTTGTGTTCAGAAATGAGATGAGGTGAGTATATTCTAGGTCCGAACACACCACCATCCTGGAGTGGATAGTAGAGCATGTACTCCCGGTAAGAAATGCATGCAGGTGGCAGCACCACCTGCTAACTTTCTCTCAGGTGATGATGATTTTAAGAAGCTGCAGCTTCAGGCTTGGCATTTCTTGATGTTTATACTCCAGCTGAATTGAAAGACTCTAAAGTTGGTAGAGGACAAGCCTTTTGACCCAAATGCGCCGCAGCAAGAGAGGCAGGGAACCATCCACAGACAAGTTAAAACATGGCTGCTTTGGTGAAGCCTTGGCTGTTGTTTATATATAAAGTTGGTGCAAGGAACAACATTGCTGGCTCTCATGCGGTTTGAGGGCACAATTGCCCATCAGCCAGCGGTCCCAATCATGGGAGCTTGTCAGCGTGTCGCTCCAAACTCGAGATTGATCAAGTTGTTGCTGTTTGCTATCCCATCGCTAGAACTCTGACCGCGAGCTTCGAGGGCACTGGCATCAGCCTGAGAGAAGATTCTGGGAAAGGCTCCAAAGCAAACAGTTGCTTAAGGTGCGTGATGCAGGGTGCTTGACTTCAACAGATCACTTGGTGATGGGTGGCTCAAGCAGTTCTTTTATTGAGCACGTAGAGCACTGTAGGACTTTTTCATTAGGTGCTATTGAACATCCAGTGTTGCAAGCTGGGCGCTTTGCGCAGAGATGGCAGCAGTGTCTGCGCCGTTCTCCGGCAGTGTGCTGGGGCACCGCGCCTCACTCGCCCCAGCCGCTCCCCGAACTCCAGCCCCTTTGGCCCAGCCCAGCTGCGCTGGCGCTCCACATGAATCTGTGCGCCATGCGCCAGCTGTGGCCGCAGGCGCCATGGGCCTCGGATTGAGGCGACGCATGCGGAATCGAAAAGCTCCTCGGAATGCGGTGAGCTCCTCCTTGCAGGAAGCAAAAGAAATGAGTCAGCCAGACAGGAAGGCTGCACTAGACAGAAGTACTCGCGAAAGAAAGATTTTGGGAGCTGACAAAACCGTTGAGGACGTGATCCCAGCGAAGTTGTTGGAGAGCGATTTGGGAAAAGAGCTTAAGGTCGGCATTGAAACCATGGTGGAAGTGATGCACATGCTAAGCCTCGGCTTGCTGCTCCTGGAGGATGTCAAGGACAAGTCCACCGTTGGGTTGCACGGCTTCAAGCTGCAAGACAAATACGTCCGAGAGGCATCCGATGGCACTGAGTCAACAATGCCCGGGCTGGCTGTAACCAGCTATGTCATGAAGCAGCTGCTTGAGCACTTTCCCGAGGACCCTGTGCTCAGCGATGAGGATGGGGAGCTTCTTTCCAGAGATGAAGGCTTTGCCCAAGAGGTGGTGAACTTCTTCAAAGCTTTCCAGCTTATGCCTGATGCAACAACCAGCTCACTCGCTGAATGGAGCAAGCATTGCAATTCTTACTCGGAGGGTGAGCCACCAAGAAGATACTGGGTGTTTACACCGATTGATTCAAAAAAATGCTTCAGGGACGCCAAACAATTCGGTTGCACGTTGTGCCTGATGCAGGATAATGAGCCAGTTCTCAGTCTGATGGGCTGCCCCGTGCTGAGCTATGACCATCCTAGCCGCAGCAGCCCCCACCCCTCGGGATGCCCAATTTTCTATGCTATGAAGGGACAGGGTGCGTGGACACAGCTCGTGGTGATGAAGAGGGAAACTGGCGTGTATATGGGGCAGTATGGCTTGAAAAGCCCATCCCTGAAGCTGAATGTGAGTGAGAAGATCCGGCGTGGCAACGATGGGCTCTATGATATGCTGGGGACTGAGCAGCTGCGCATCTCACAGCACTCCAGAATGCGGGAAGACATTTTCCTTGATTCGGAGCGGATTGCCAAGCTCTTGGGGTCTGAGTTTGCCAAGTTTCATTTCATTGACAACTCCATGAAGTTCAGTTGCTGGGCCTTTGAAGTAAGTACAATGGAACAACAATGTTATACAATGTAGACATTGGCTTGGTTTGTTGAAGGGGTGGGGTGGGTGGGTAGGCCGCAGCAAGCTAGCTAGTAGCTAGTAGCAAGGGGTAGGTAATTAGCTTAAGTGGGTTCTTAGGCTTGGTTAGGCTTGGATGCAGAAGGGCTCTTGTCATGATTTGGCATTTGGTTCCGGTTCCTGTTTTAAGGGAAACTTAGCTTTTACTTGTAGCTATTAAGTAATCCATTCGTGTACAGTGCCTTCGTATGCTGGCGTCGCCCCTTTCAAGAAGTCTCTGAGGTTGGCTGGCCAGAGGGGATGAGGACATTTCTTGGAGCATCACACAGGGCCTCTATGATTCTTCATCCAGGCTGCGCCTCACAGAGCATGCAGCTGGTGTCCTGATCGCCGAAGAGGCTGGCGCAAGTGTAGCCGATTTAGATGGCGAGGACATCGATTGGTCTACTGGGCCAATTTTGTCCAACAATCGGGGCCTTTTCGCGACGGACCCAAACAAAGTACCAAAGAAGGCGATTGTGAAGGCCGTTAAGGAAGCAACCGAGAAGTCACAAGTCCTCTACCAAGAGAGATGTGAAAAGAGGCGTGAAAAAGCACAGATGTTGCGAAAAATTTTTGAAGAAATGGGCAAGTATGCAGAGACTGAGGAGGAGATCAAGGGCGCGGCGGTCGTGAAAAAGAGAGGACTCGAAATGCTGGACAATGAGGAGGAGATGATGAAGCTAACGCAGGAGTCAATGAGCCGCGGTGTGCCCATCCTTGGTGAGCCCACACTGGCAGATGATGATGACCTTGGAGGTCCCATCCCTTTCTCGCCAATCAAGTCTGATTGAGCCTTTTCCAAATCCAGATCTGCATTTGTACGCTGAATCGGAGCTTTGCGTATAAAGATGCACGAACTGGGCAAGACTTGGGCTTGGGCAAAAAGTTTAGCCTTGCATGCCACATGATTGAACGGCAGCATTGACTGGGGTGTTCAGCAGTGATCTCTCATGCCAAGCAGGTCATATCAGGTTTATTTGTAATTTTGTAGCAGATCCTTTCTTCAATGCAGATGGGTTGCCGAGTCGTGCGACCTAGGCGGCCTGAAGGACTTGTCCAGATGAGCAGATCACTTTCTTTACATGTTTTCCATCCATATGTGGCTGAATAGAATTCTGCGACTCGAAGAACGGGCAGGGGAAGACATGGTTCAACATCGTGCAGCCGTGTTACGAATCAGACTCCTCAAGCCTTTTCTTTTGCCCATCAACCGCGCCGGTAGTGCGAAAGTGCAAGATCATGCAACTACAACTGAGCCATTCGATAAACCTCCGTGTTCATGTTTACTCAGTGTGTTGTCATATCGAAGTTGTGCGTAAGCAAAACCTGCACGCGCGTAAGGTTGCGTAAGCTTTTTGTAAGGACACCTTTTGCGTAAGCCATGCATAAGCTTTGAAGAAATACATGATAAATACATGAGCAACCCACAGTTGTTGTTCTGGTTGTGCGTGTGTTTGTCCATGTCCCTTCGTGCAAAATTTGGATTACATGTGAGCTCCCCCATTTGCAGGAAGGAGGAAATGCACCGCCACTGTGAGGCCTGGCTTCCTGTGTTGGGCCCTTGGCTGCTCAGGAAAGGCCTCCAACCTAGTACTAGTAGCGATGGCCTCCAACCGGCTAGCGATGGCCTCCAACCTAATAGCTCCAACCTAATAGCAATGGCCTCAAACATCCTCAAACCTAATAGCGATGGCTTGCACACTCCACCTAGTAGTATGGCCTCCAACCGAATGGCGATGGCCTCCAACCTACTAGCGATGGCCTCCGGCTAGTGCCGGGCCACCAACTAGCGAAAGTTTTCTCCTGGTTCCTCCACTCTCTTTCAGGACTTGCTCAGTGGCGAATTTGATCAGGCGAGGCCAGGGACTAGTTTTGCGGGTGTTGTTAAGAGAAATTGACAATGATCGATGCTGCGTTCAAAATCGAGAAATTGTGGACGGAAAGCAGTCAGCATTGGTGTACATACATGGGCTAATGCAGGGTGAGACAGCAGCTCAAGGAGAAAACAATGTTTTTGTTCCGAATCGTTGTAGCGACATCCACCTAAGAGGATTCGCCCGAGAAAATCAAGAAAACAAGAAAACAATGAAAATTAGAACACAAATATACTGTAAACAAAACAAATCTTGGCTTGAACATTTCGCGGTTTTTGCCGTTTTCGCGATTTTGACGTTTTCACGGCTTTTGCATCCCTTTGTCGGCTAGCCAGCCACATTCATGAAAGAAGCAGCTCCATGAGCAAAAAAAACATTGCACAGTATACCCTTGTGGCCTTCGCACACCATGTTTAGTGCTACACTGCAAACATGTGACCTTCAATCAGCACAGGCCACCGCAGATCCAGTTGCATGAAAATAATTCAAGATTGGAGTCAGGTGACCAACCTGCAACCTTGCGACCTAGTTCAGGAGACGCGGCACAAGAGCCCCGCGTCCAAAAATCACCTTCCACTTGATTGTATTTCAGGTTTCGTGCCACATTCAGGGGCGCTCATCAAGAAGTCCTTTGGAATCAGTACTGTGCGTGTGCTATTTCTTCAGGACTACTTTTGTGACCTCTCAAGGTCCTAAACACAGGTTCACCCTAGGGCATTGCTGTTACCAGCATTTTGGGCGGGAATGAGGGCGACCTGAAAGGATCCTTACACGCAAAATCGTGGTGGGTGACCCAGAATCAAAACGCTTGAACCGCTTGCTAATGCTTCACAGCGCCTGTTCAAGTGCAAAACAAATCAATGTGCAGTGAAATGACAATATATGTATATATAGTTATATATATATATATGTATGTTTAACGAACCATATGCAATATCATAGCACATGGGCATCCGACAAGACCGTTGTAGATGTACTTCAGTAGTGGGCTGCCTTAAGTATCCTGTCCGATAGGGGCCACCCTTCCTTGATTGAAAATAGATCATTGCCTGCATTCCAAAACACTGGAAATGGGCATGAAGACGTTTTGATTATTGTACAAGGTAGCATCAGCTGCATGAGTTCTGGCATTGCCAAGGGGGCCAAACCTCACGTTTGCACAAAGCCCGATGTTTATTCGCGCAGGGGTGGTAGTGAGTGACTTCGGCCCCATCGGCTGTGAAAGGGCTCAACAACTCCACATATTTAGATCGCTGTGGCGAAAAAAACAAACTTGCTGTGTCCATTTTACGGCTATTTGTTGTTGCAAATTTTCGCTTGTAGTCGCGGGCCCTCAGACTTTGCGAGTCTGCGCAGTCGAAATGCACCTCGAGAGTTTCGAGAGGCATGAATGTGCTGTAAATAGCAGCGAATTAGACGTACACGCCTGCGCGCTTTTGCGATCTAAGCATCAGCTGCTTTTCTTCCACCGTAAGAACCCCTAGTGTGTCCACACTGTTTGGGGAAAAATTGCCAGCATGTAGTCATCCGAACGGCCTTGGAGGGTCAGGGCTGAGTAGCGGCTCGAATTTGTCAGGGAAGCCTGCATGGAAATGGCTCCGGACTTCAATGGAAAGAGACGGACGACGCCACAGGCTCAGACTGGCCAATCCTGGACGACTTCTGGACTAAGTACCGAGCCTGCGGATAGGGCCCTCTAAAACTTTTGTGGGTTGCGGGCTTTGTGGAGGGAAACATCATTGCTATCAATTTATTATCTTTGATTATCTCTTCGCTAATCCAGAAAAATCCAGAAATACGTACCAAATTTATAAATCATATATATAATATATCGTAACAATATATTTAAAGAATATATCCTTAATAAATTTAAAAACATATATATATATATATAAGAATGTAAATATAATATATTGCAATATTATTGAATTTATACATTGAATATAAATTAATATAATAAAAAATATTTTAGGATTTTATATATAATAAATATAAATATATGAAATATAAAGATATATATTATTAAATTTTTGTAAATATATAATATAAATTTGAAATTGAATATATAATTAATTATTTAATTAATGATTAGAATAATCGTAATACGTATTTTTTTTTATAAATTATTTATATATTAATAATATAAATAATTTATATGTATAAATATAGAAATTAAATTTACATATTATATATTTATATTTGTTATTTATTGGTTAGATATTTTGTTTAGGATTATATTATGTATATGGAAAACACAAGATATGTTTAAATATTTATAAATATTATGAAATTATATTTTATATAAAAAAATATATAAATGGTATTTAGATTAGTGATCCGCGCAATAGGGCCGGAGGCAAATCCCCGATAATAATATTCTTTTTTTAGAATTGCTCTTTAAATGCTCTACCGATCTCCCCTTCTTTTGATTTTCTTAATCCGGACCTGTTTAAGTTTTCGGGTAAAATGCACGTCTTTGAACATCTAAATTGCGTAAATATGCCGTATTTAAGCCTAATTTCGCATCCTTCTACATAGTCCGTGTAAGGCCCAAATCCGTGTCTTTGAAAATTAACATTGTATAAATATGGCCCGCTTAGGCTTAAATATGCATCTTTTTGCAACGAAATTGCGTTAACATGACCCACTTAAACCCAATTTCGCATTTTTGGACATATAGTCTGTTTAAAACCCAAATCCACGTTTTTGAGCATTAAAATTGCATAAATATGGCCCGCTTAGGGACCATATCCGCGTCTTTGAATATCAAAATTTGGTAAATTTGGTCCATTTAAATCCAAATGTATATTTTTGAATATCGAAAATATATAGACGTAATCCATTTAAACCCAACCTTTAAATCCTATATAATTACCTATATAATTAAATAATCAAAGATAATAAATTTGCACCAATTAAATTCCCATATATTAAAATGAAATTAAATTCCTTGCAGAAATTAACTAAAGAATATAAATTTCAAGAATTATATATTATTATATAATTACAAATGCCCAAATGCTTCAAATCTAAATATAACCAATATTATATATAATAAAATCGAAATTTATTTATATATCTTTCTATATTCAAAGAAATATATAATCTTCCAAATATATTTATTTCATTTAAAAAGTAAAAAATATAAATTTATATTTAAAATTATATTTATATATATTATATTTATATATTTCGAATTCATATTATATATATTATTAATATATAATAAATGTAAATATAATATATATAATTAATAAATATATATTTAATATATTTACAAAAAAAATATTCAATATAATATTCAAAAAATAAATTCAATAATAAAAAATAAATATATTTCCCATCATAAAATATCCCAATCGAATCTATAATTTATTCCCGATACAAAATCCTCAATAATATATCATTCAAAATTATAATTTTTTTTTTCATTTCACATCCGGCCAATGTATTATTGGCCCGTGTTGGGCAGCGCTACGAAAGCGGATGCATCGTGTGCATCAGAAGCCCCGGAAGTCGGTGCAGCCTGAGTACGACGAGGTTCAACGAAAAGTGTCTTCGAGAAGTTGGGTCCATGGATCTTCTTCTGCGGCCACTTTGGGAAATAGCCGGCGCCAAAACTTCGCAAGCCCCAGCTGAGGCACAAGCCAAATCAGATAGCAATCTTTCTGCATGGCGGGGTGCAAACAACTCAGCCAGGGCAAACGATCATCATCGGTCATCCAAAGGTTTCCACTTGTCAACAAGCAGGACTGATAGTGTCCTGAATGAGGTCCCTCACCCAAGTGTAAGGTCAGGCTCACGATACGATACTCAGCCCAGTACACATCAAGGCCGGAGGTTCGTGCAAAAATCGGAATCTGGACACAGGACCTGGGAAAATCAACATTCATGCGATTCTTGGTGTGCAAGTCGGGGAAGCGCTCAATCTGAAGACAAATGTTGGGGTGCTCCGATAAACACGCATTGGTGTATGGTGATTGCTGGTGCCATGCATGAATCATGTTTTGCAATGAACACGTCTTTTGGTCAGGGCAGCGGAGCAAGATCGGTGCAATCAATGCGCCACCGTCTTCATGATCAATGGT